AAAAAAAAAAAAAAAAAGAAAACATATTGTTATTGCTGCAGACGGGGAAATCCTTCCAGCAGAGCTGATGTCCTGTGTTACGTACTGGTCTGGTTTGGGATAATGTGAGTTAACATTCTGATACCCGAATAGATTTGCCTTGCAAGGTAGGCTGGTGATACATTCGCATCTGAAAGACGTGAAAATTCAACCCTATTGGTATTGGTCTCATGTGATCAACAGACCTGTCTTGTGAATGAACTTGGCTCTGGGAACAAGAGAATGGGGTTATGTGTATGAGACGCAGCCCTCATTGAGGATCTGGGTTTGGGTTGGGGTTTCTACGATGTCAGTTTCAAGGCAAATGTGAGATGAAGACCCTCAGAGGTGAGCGTGCTGAAAAGAGCCAGGGGTTGGTGAGAAGTGTCGGGATGTGTGTGCACCTGTGAGTGTGAATGTGTGTATGGGGAAGGTAGAGTGTCAGGGAGAGCCGGTCATCTAGAGCTGCAGGTGCTGACTGGAGGGACTAAGTAGGGAATCCAGGCCGCGATGGGCAAGGTATGTGAAACACGCGCCCATGAGCGTGAACAGGGATCACATAGCCTTGGCAGCCAAGAGCTCTGACATGGACCAAGGGACCAGATGTGGGCCTGGGCTAGAGGAATGAGGGTGCCCTGGAGCAGGCGGAGGCCATCAAAGGGACTAAGGCCCATGGCTACTTTCATACAGCAAACCCCTCCCCTTTTCAAGGCAGCTCCATATTTTTTCTAAAGAGGCCACACTCGAGAGCTGTCCCCTGACAAAAGAGGCTGTGTTGATGGCCAGGCCTCCTGTGCTTTCCTGAAAACATCTGCAACTGTGCCAGTCCGGAGCTGCCCCTCCCTTACACCCAGGCTGTGGGATAGTGAGTCTTAACCATTCATTCTGGGGTGCAGGTCAGCGGATGGATCTTGAGGACCTGAATCCCACACACGCCAGGCACGGTACCCAACAGTCTCACAAAGCAGTTTTCGCCATCTCTGCCCAGTACTCTCTGCTTCCCTTATCTTCTGCGTTATCTTCCCCAGCTTGGGGGCTGTGGATGGATAGTCCCTCCAAAGGCGCTCCTGTGTGGGCATCGGGTGCATTGTAAAGAGCAGCGCAGATAGCACCCCATTCTCTTCATGCACACTTCCCCAGGAGAGGCGCCAGGGCTGCCCGCCGTGCATTCTTGCTGTTAATACTTTGGCTCTGGGATGACATGGCCCCCCATCCCCCATGTGAGTGGTCAGACAAGGTACCTAGCCTTTCATGTGTACAAGGGAAGAGCTGCAAGTATTCAAATCCTTCAGAATATAAGCTCCTTGAGGGCAGAGATTTCCATCTGTTTATATGTCTCGTGAATCCCCAGAGCCTGGGATAGACAATAGCGTATTTTAGGCACATAGCAAACATTTTTTGAATGTTGATTAAAATACAATCACCCACGTAAAGTGCTTAGTACAGTATCTGCATAAACATAGTTAATGCTAGTTCATGCTGTTATGAATGGTTTAGAAGCTTCCTCAGAAAGTGTTGAAGAGAGCAGAAAGAGGCCAGGCAGGGTGGCACACGCCTGTAATCACAGCAGTTTGGGAGGCAAAGGTGGGCAGATCACTGGTGCCCAGGAGTTTAAGACCAGCCTGAGCAACATGGTGAAACCCTGTCTATATGAAAAAATACAAAAAATTAGCCAGGCCTGGTGGTGCCTGCCTGTAGTGCCAGCTACTTGGTGGAGGTGGTGGAGCACGGAGGCAGGAGGCTTGCTTGACCCTGGGAGGTTGCACCACTGCACTCCAGCCTGGTTGATAGAGGAGACTGTCTCAAACAAACAAAAAAAAAAAAAAAAAAAAAAAGGAGAGAAAGAGAGAGCATAAAGAATACTTTATTTGTGCAGTCAAAACATATTTGTTGATTAGCTGGTGTGTAGCAGGTCTCTGTTAGGTTCAAGGGAGACAGCAGGGAACAAGAGACACATTCGCTGATGGAGTTTCTAGTGTAATGAAGGAGACAGTTGTTGAACAAGCAACCGAGTGTTAATCTATGTGCTGACTGTACAAAATTTGTGGAATAAAATGAAGTTGGCCACACTAAAAAATTCGAACTGGGTACCAGACTTCAGGTACCAGACTATAGTCCTTTCTGTTGGTGTATTAGTTAAGGTAATGCTAGTCACTGTAACAGATACACCTTCACTAGCAGTGATAAGTACAAGAGAAGTTTATTTCCTGCTCTCATGGAAGCTAAACAGCTATCTCTGTTCAGCACACCATTCTCCTCCAGGCAGTGTTTCAGGGACCCAGGTTTCTTCCCTGTTGTGGCTCTGTCCTCTTCCTCGCTTGGCTTCCAAGTCCTCTGTGTTTCTCTGCATCAACTTGGTAGGAGGGGTGGAGGAGAGGGCTTGGCAAAAGGTTTTTATGGACCAGGCCAGGCAGAGGTGAGCGTGACATGTACTTCCATTCTGTAGGTCAGAAGTCAGGCCACAGCCACACAGAACACAAGGGAGACTGGGAAATGCAGTCTAGGCCAGGGCATGGGAATCTCTGCTGCAGTCTGCCCTTCTGATCAATAAATCCCTTTCACCCCCTTCTTCTCATTCATAGATCACACTGACCCTTTTCCTTAAGAGAGAAACTCAAATCCCAGTTTAGCCCAATGTCTGAATATCTGGGCGATACGTAATATTATCTCCAAGTCCAGATGCAGTATTTCATGTTCACTGACCTGTGATCTAAAAAAACAAGTTATCTGCCACCATCGTGCATGTCCCCCATATGCTATGATGGAATATAGATGGCACAAGGCAACAAGCACTCCCATTCAGAAACGGGCAGACATGGAGTCACATGGCCATCACTGGCCCATAGCAATTGTACACTCCTGCCTAATGGGAATGGTGAAGTCAGCTGCCCAGTCACGGAATTATGTTGATTAGACAGAAATTGAACTTCCTTATTTACTGCTTTCTGAAGTCCGCTGTTCTTCTTGGCCCTTGTGCTGTCAGAGTTGTAAAGCTTTTGTAATTTGGGGGTCCTGAGACTGGTTTCAAGCAGGATTTTCCAACCTCAGGACTATGAATATTTTTACCCAGATAATATTTTGTTGTGGGGAGTCTGTCCTATGTGTTATAGGATGTTTAGCAACATTCAGGACCTCTACTTAATTTTAAAAAAATTTATAAAGAAAAGAGGTTTAACTGGCTTACGATTGTCCATGGCTGAGGAGGCCTTAGGAAACATAATCATGGCAGAAGGCAAAGAGAAAGCATGGTAGCAGGAGAGAGAGATCAAGGGGCAAGTGCCACACTTCAGAACCATCAGCTGTTGTGAGAACTCCCTCACTCACTATCAGGAGAATAGCAAGGGAAAAATCTACCCTGATCCAATCCTCTCCCACCAACAGCCTCTACTTACTAGATACCATGAGTAGAGGCATTTCTATACCACTTATGACACCAAAAAATGTCACCAGACATTGCCAAATGTCCCTTGGAGGGCAAAGGCACTTCCAGTTGAGAACCACTGGTTTCAGGCTTAAACAAAGTCTTGGCTCATGGTTTCTTGGCAATACTATTCCCTCAAGATCTTACTAGGCTTCTGGTCTATACGCTTCCAGTCAGTTCCATGAGCCGTAACCATGGTCAAAGTTGTTTTCTAAACAAGAATGTTCTCATCTAATTTATTTCTTTGCCTCCACATGTTTTGTTACCACGTAACATGATCTTCATCTTTATAGCCTCCAAAATCATTTTTCTTGTCACTTGTCACTCACCACTAATTGGTTGAGCAGTGGGCACATGGAGGCTGGTTCTGGAGACTGGAAAGCCTCGAGCAGTGACAAAACATTTGCGATGGCTAAAAAGGAAGACCTCTAAACCAGGCCACACATTTTGGATTTATGTTGCAGCAGCATCCCGCTTTAAATATAAACTGTGTTAGTTAAAGGAATGGTACAGAAGCACTCAGCTTCAGAGTATAGATTTCCCTATTGTTAAGGCACAAAAATAGGCCAAAGGTCTTTCTTCCTGGCCCCCTTTTCTTCTTGTTTCTCAATGAGTAGCTGCAATAGCATGCCCAATGCTGGATCAGCTACCTCCTGGCTTGGAAGAGAAGTGGGAGCTGAGTTTTGGAGCTATGTGGAGTTCAGGGAAGAAAGGATGTGTGGAGGGGGGAAAGCTCACAGTGGCAGAGGAGGTGAAACTGGAGGCAGCCTAGGGGAGCTGCTGAAACGGACTGCTGATTTCTGGGGTTGGGTGTGGGTGAGATTGCACAGGCCAAGTTCATTCAAAAGGGCCAGAGTGGAATGAACACCATGAAAACCCCAAGACAGTTCATGAACCACACAAGCTTTGGTTTCTTAGCCTCCGACATCCCATTTAAAATTTGTATATATATTTTAGGTTCAGTGAAGAGGAAACAAAAATCATTACTATTTCATTCTTGCTATACGAATAATAAAAAATGAAACAGGGGAAAATATCCGTTCATCAGGAAAATGCTGAATATACTATGATATACTAGAGAAATGCTAAATATATGATGATACACTAGAGTTTCTCATACTAGAGGAAACGATGCCATAGTTTAACTCATGCGTACATTGTAAAACCATTTATACAAAAAGAAAATCCCACAATGCCATATGCTGAGTCTGAGGATGTAGTTATATAAGTAAATGCAAAGAAAGACGTTTACGGACTGATAATTACGGCTGAGCCGGAAGAGGAAGGAGGGGGTGGTGACATGGATTGGGGTGATTGCTAATTCCCTCTTTCTTTCTCTCCTTCTCTCTCCTTCTCTCTCTTTCTCTTTCTTTTCCTTCCTTCATTCCTTCCTTCCTTCCTCTTTCTTTCTGTCTTGTCTTTCTTTCTTTCTTTCTTTCTTTCTTTCTTTCTTTCTTTCTTTCTTTCTTTCTTTCTTTCTTTCTTTCTTTCTTTCTTTCTTTCTTCTTTTTCTTTCTTTCTCTCTTGTTCTCTCTTTCTCTTTCTTTCTCTGTCTCTCTTTCCCTCTCTCTCTTTCTCTCTCTGCCTTTCTTTTTCTTTGACGGAGTTTTGCTCTTGTGGCTCGGGCTGGAGTGCAGTGGCACAATCTCGGTTCACTGCAACCTTCACCTCCTGGGTTCAAGCCATTCTCCTATCTCAGCCTCCCAAGTAGCTGGGATTACAAGGCATACACCACCACGCCTGGCTATAGTAGAGATGGGGTTTCACCATTGTTGGTCAGGCTAGTCTCGAACTCCCGACCTCAGGTGATCCACCTGTCTCAGCCTCCCAAAGTGCTGGGATCACAGGCATGAGCCACTGCTCCTGACCCACTAACGGGATTTCAAAGCAACGGTCTTTCTAGAAGAGGATGTAAACCAAATTTGATAAAAATCAAAAGAATGAGATGGGTCTGTTTGCATGGAGAGATGCTGGTGTAAGTTTTTTGTTTTTGCTTTTTACATCTTGAAGGAAATAATGAATAGTTTTTACCTTTGGAGGATTAAGTAAGTGGAAAGTTCTGCTGCTAATTGTGTACTTTGTGAATTTTCTAGCCGTGTTCATATGTTACTTAAAAAAAACCCAACAGGCATTTCTGAGTGGTAAGATAATCGGTTTCTTTTTGCTCTTTTCTTTATATTCATTTCTATTAAAATAAAGTAATACATTTTGTTTAAGAGGAACTTACACAAGGTAATACATGATGCAGGTTGATAATTTCGAAAATAGAGGAAAACATGAAAAACAGAACTGGGCCAGGCGTGGTGGCTTACGCCTGTAATCTCAGCATTTTGGAAGGCCAACGCGGGTGGATCACGAGGTCAGGAGATTGAGACCGTCCTGGTCAAGCTAGTGGAACCCCATCTCTACCAAAATACGAAAAATTAGCCGGGCGTGGTGGTGAGTCCCTATAGTCCTAGCTACTCAGGAGGCTGAGGCAGGGGAATCGCTTGAACCCAGGAGGCGGAGGTTGCAGTGAGCTGAGATCGCGCCACTGCACTCCAGCCTGGCGACAGAGCAAGACTCCATCTCAAAAAAAAAAAAAACAACAAAAACAGCTCTACTGGCTGGATTTGACGGCGTAATGTCACAGGAAGTTCTCCGCTCCCAGACATGGGTCCCTTGGCTTCTTGCCTTGGAAGTGCAGCAGCAGGCATCGTGGGAAGGTGAAGAGCTTCCCCAAGGATGACCCTTCCAAGCCGGTCCACCTCACAGCCTTCCTGGGATACAAGGCTGGCATGACTCATATCGTGTGAGAGGTCGATAGGCCAGGATCTAATGTGAACAAGAAGGTGGTGGAGGCTGTGACCATTGTGGAGATGCCACCCATGGTGGTTGTGGGCATTGCGGGCTACGTGGAAACCCCTCGAGGCCTCCAGATCTTCAAGACTGTCTTCGCCGAGCACATCAGTGATGAGTGCAAAAGGCGTTTCTATAAGAACTGGCATAAATCTAAGAAGGCCTTCACCAAGTACTGCAAGAAATGGCAGGATGAGGATGGCAAGAAGCAGCTGGAGAAGGACTTTAGCAGCATGAAGAAATACTGCCAAGTCATCCGCGTCATTGTCCACACCTAGATGCGCCTGCTTCCTCTGCACCAGAAAAAGGCCCACCTGATGGAGATCCAGGTGAATGGAGGCACCGTGTCTGAGAAGCTGGACTGGGCCCGTGAGAGGCTGGAGCAGCAGGTACCTGTGAACCAAGTGTTTGGGCAGGACGAGATGATTGACGTCATCGGGGTGACCAAGGGCAAAGGCTACAAAGGGGTCACCAGTCGTGGGCACACCAAGAAGCTGCCCCGCAAGACCCACCGAGGCCTGTGCAAGGTGGCCTGTATTGGGGCGTGGCATCCTGCCCGTGTGGCCTTCTCTGTGGCACGTGCTGGGCAGGAAGGATACCATCACCGCACTGAGATCAACAAGAAGATCTATAAGATCGGCCAGGGCTACCTTATCAAGGACGGCAAGCTGATCAAGAACAATGCCTCCACCGACTATGACCTGTCTGACAAGAGCATCAACCCTCTGGGTGGCTTTGTCCACTATGGTGAAATGACCAATGACTTTGTCATGCTGAAAAGCTGTGTTGTGGGAACCAAGAAGCGGGTGTTCACCCTCCGCAAGTCCTTGCTGGTGCAGACCAAGCGGCGGGCTCTGGATAAGATTGACCTTAAGTTCATTGACACCACCTCCAAGTTTGGCCATGGCTGCTTCCAGACCATGGAGGAGAAGAAAGCATTCATGGGACCACTCAAGAAAGACCGAATTGCAAAGGAAGAAGGAGCTTAATGCCAGGAACAGATTTGCAGCTGGTGGGGACTTGATAAAAGTTATTTTCCACTGAAAACAAAACAAAACAAAACAACCCAGAACTAAAGCCATCTGCATCCTCCCTATCAGATACAATGATCATTACCAATGTTTTAGTGAAGTTTCCTCCAGTCTTCTTCTGTCTATAAAATGTCTACTTTAATAAAATTGAGCTATATTTTGTGGCCAGTTTTATCCTCTATTTCCTTTACTTAATAAGATATTATGAGCATTTTTCCTGCCATTAAATATTCCTTAAACAGTGTAATTTGTAACGGTTACATAATACTCTCTACACATACACTTTTACAACCTGTAGTCACAATTGTGATACTAGTAGTTAAGCGCTTACGGTGTATCAAGCGCCGCCTAGGGGTTTGGCTTCTATTGCCTCTTTTCATCCTTCCAGCACACCCGTGAGATAATGTTGTAATGCCCATTTTGTAGATGAGGATGTAAAGGCCCAGCCAGATATGTGGGTAACTGGCCCAAGGTGCCAAAGCTAGCACGCAGCTAAGCCAGGTCTCAAACACACACCTATTATTTTAGCTGCTGTTAAGTAAAGCCCAGTAGAACCTCCCCCGAGACAATTATTTATCCAATCCACTATTGCTGGACATAAGACTGCTTGGAAATTTTTGCCACCTTCAATAACACTGTGATGATTATCCTTGTACACACAGCTTTGGCCACATCTCAGAATTCCTTGCTTACGTTAAATTTCTAAAAGTGGAACTGGGTCAAAATGAGAGAGCGCCTTTTATTTCCTGCAAGATATTGCCAGAGAGAACCAGACCCTTTGCAGATCTGCTTTGGAGCTTTCGGCAAACTCTTCCAAATGGGAATGATAATTCTGCAGGAACTAGGGAATGTAGCAATCATGGCCCTTCCTGGCTGAGGACTCACTGACATTGACCTGTAAACGATGGCTCTCAAGTCACACCTGACTCACAGAGAGTTTTATTGAATTTCCTTGCAATGCTATTATGCTCTGTGAACAGAGTCAGGCAGACGCGGTGACCACGGGCCCCTGTTACATCAGGTAAGGGCACATCCTGCTACATGGCTCCTTTCATTTCTATTATTTCAAATGTCAAATGCACTTTGCCTCAAGCCTTCTTGGCCTTTAATTTTTAAATCCACATGCATTTAATTTATTTATTGGATTTAGATGGGACTTGAGGGGAGATTGAATTCATACACTTCTGCTTCACCTTCACTTAACTTACTCCATGGCTCAAACATCATTGTTGGCTCTTTTAAAGAATAATTTTTTTGTGTGCAGCTTCTTTCCAGAGGCAGGAAGCTGAGGAGGGAGGAGTCCCATTGAAAAAAAAAGTAGAAATGTAGGAAGGTGATGGACCTGGGGAAGGGCAGGCTCCCAGGCATTCATTAAAACATTCTTGCTAGTCAAGGGGTTGCAGAAAGGTACCCGTAGTTGGGAAAGCAGTCTTTTTAACTTGGCTTAATTAGCCTAATTTAAGGGCTCATCTCTACCACAGGGATGTGCCAGGAAGCTCAGGGGCACCTCAAATTTAAAATGTTCCTATTTAAATTAATTGATGCCATCAGTAACTCCCTAATCTGTCCTTCTTACTAAGATGAGATAATTTTGTAAATTGAGATAATTCCATCCCAAAGCAGACCAAACTTGATATTTTCTTATGTCCTTTCAACCTGATGGTGGGTACATGCATCATTTTCATTAGGCTTCTTTTTTAAAAAAAAATTTCCTTTTTTCTTATTATGGATATTTTCAAACATTCAGAAAAATTGAAAGAATCATACTGTGAATACGCAAATACATAACGGCATAATCCTACAATGTTTATCATTTTTCCCTATTTGCTTTATCTTTTAGCAATCCATCTCTCAACCTACCTTATTTTTTAATGCATTTCAAACTAAGTTGCAGACATCAATAAACCTCATTGCTAAACACTTCAGCATACATGTCACTAACTACATTTTTCCTTTTCCTGTTAAAATTTCTATAAGTAAAATATACATCCCAACTGTACCACTCAATGGGTTTTGACAAATTTGGGTACTGGAGGAACCCAAATTCCATCAAAATATCTAAAAAAATTTCCACCACAGACACTTCCTTGGTGTCCTTTTGCAATTCATTTCTTTCTTTCTTTTTCTTTTTATTTAAGGCAAAGTTTCGCTCTGTGGTGTCACTCACTGCAAACTCTGCCTCCTGGGTTCAAGCGATTCTCCTGTCTCAGCCTCAAGAGCAGCTGGGATTGCAAGTGCCCGCCACCATGCCCAGATAATTTTTGTATTTTTAGTAGAGACAGGATTTCACCATGTTGGCCAGGATGGTCTCAAACTCCTGACCTCAGGTGATCCATCCACCTCAGCCTCCCAAAGTGCTAGGATTATAGGTGTGAGCCACTGTGCCCAGCCTGCAATTCATTTCTTAACATCCCTTGCCCCAGACAATAATGGAGCTAATTTCTGTGACTACATATTAGTTTTGGCTGTTCTAAAACTTCATGTAAATGGATTCATGTGGTATGCAATATTTCATGTACCTCTCTTCTTGCTCAGCACAATGTCATTGCATGTATCAGTATTTTTCCTTTTTCTTGCTGCATTGTAACCTGGATTCTTGATGGCATCTTTGAGCATTAGATGAGCTAACCCTAAACCCCATCCCAGCTCTGAACTTTCTCTAACGGGAGTTTCTGGTTTCTTATAGCTAAGTCAGGTTGTGATGGGCTTTCTGTTACTTGTAGCCGTGAGCCTTCTAGTTAAAACAAGATGCATTTGAGTTTGGTCTTTCTTGCCTTATGTTATAAACTGGAATTTCTCAGAAACATGTGAAAGTGGAAATGAAAGCACTGCACTGGAAATAATAATCTAATTAATGTCGTGGTAGAATGCTATTAAATATGCCACGGGATTATTCTCCTCTATAAAGTATCATTTAGCAAGGATACTTGCCAGAAAAATGCATGCAGTATTTTAGAAAGAGTGTTTTCCTGTTTGAGTTGCCTTCCTGCCTCACAGAACCACACTGGCCTGCACTATATGGAATGTGCTATGATTCTATTTGTCTTAGTGTTACTTCAGATACTTTGGTTGCAGGTCTAGACTAAGATTCCACTGTTCTGCTCAGAAGAGCCCTGCTCATCCTTTGGGTCCTGAGCAGGATGGTCCAAGCCTAGCTGTAGGGTGATGGAGGTGGAGTCGGTCATCCATAGGTGGTGCTCTGCCTCTGAACCATGATCCAACCACTATGCCTTACTGGGGCTAAGACTGGGAATTGACCTACAGGAAGAGCCGGTCTTCTGAAATGGTCAGGAAAGGAAACTTTAGGTGATTTCAGTTATGAAGACTAATAACGCCCTTGACTAGAGTCCATTGAACCATGTGTAGCCATTCCTAGGAACTTCTACCTGGAAACAGTAGTTTTAGGTATCCTAAGACCACACGTTATATGACCTGATTGAAAAAAATGATGCTTGATACATATCGCTGTTAAGAATTAGTACTAAAAAGTTTGGGAAAGGAAAGTACAGGAACGAAATTGGAAGACTTGATAGAATCTGAATGTTAATCACTGATATCAGAGTAATTTCACTAGGGTAGGAAATAGAATCATTCAGTCCTTTATTTTTTTTTATCATTTACTTGGTATTCAACATGGGGGAGGAAATGAATGCAGTATGTAATTTATTCAGAAATGAGTTTTGGAGTCACACCTGTGTTTCTACCTGAGCCACTTACTGAACTTCAATTTTTTCTTTTCTTTTCTTTTGAGACAGAGTCTTGTGCTGCCATCCAGGCTGGAGTGCAGTGGTGCAATCTCAACTCACTACAACCTCTACCTCCCAGGTTCAAGCAATTCTCCTGCCTCAGCCTCCTGAGTAGCCGGGATTACAGGTATGTGCCACCATGCTCGGCTCATATTTGTATTTTCAGTAGGGACGAGGTTTTACCATGTTGGCCAGGATGGTCTCGAACTCCTGACCTCAAGTGCTCTGCCTGCCTTGGCCTCCCAAAGTATTGGGATTACTGGTGTGAGCCACTGCACCCCGCCCAACATTTTTTCGTCTGTAAAATGAAGATGAGACATTTAAATCATACACCATTTCATTCCTTGATGCAACAAGTATTTGTTGAGCACCTATTATGTGTCAGACATTGCTCTAGAGTATAGGAACAATGTCAACAAGACAAAGTTGCTGCTGTCACAGTGCTCTCCAACAGCTGGTATTTTCAAAGATGGCTGCACCAGTGTATTCCATCCACACTCCCTCCTTACAGATGACACTGGCACACCTCCACAGAGAGGTGCAGTCTACGTTCCCTCCCCTTGGATCAGAGCAGGCCTGTGGCTGTCAGGGAAGTGATACTCTGTAACTTTTCAAGCCGACCATAAAAGGGTGAGGCAGGATTCTCCTGGCCTTCTCTCTTGGAACACTTGCCTTGAAATCCCTAAGTTGATATATAAGAAATCTAGCTACCCTATAGCTGCTAAGATGAAGAGTCACAAGGAGAGACCATATAGAGGCAGAGAAAGATACCCAAAGCATCCCAGCTGTTCCAGACCTCAGCCTTTGATCTCTGGTGAAGGCCCTGAGAGATGAGCCATCTCTTCTGTGGCCTATCTGAACTTTATGCTACGTAATCTACAAGCATCATAAGCAGTGGTTTTATGCCACAAGTTTTGGGGTAATTTGTTATGCCACTCTTATAACTGAAAAAAACTGTATGCTACTTGGGCAGAAAGACGCTAAGCCAGTAAACAACAAGATATTGTCAAACACGAGCACAAAGAACTAAAAATAGGGTGATGTGACTGAAGAGAGAGGGAAAGAGAGGCAACTCCTGCTAGATTTTCCCCACAGAAATCCTGGCAGAAGAGAGAAATTTGAATTGTGCCAACTTGAAAATATAAAAATACGAGCCAGATTGATTGTTCTGGGGACAGAGGTAACAGCAAGTGCAAAGGCCCTGGGAGGGCTGCAGCCGCATGAGGAGCCACGAGATAGCTAGCGCCTCTGGATTAGAGAGAGGGGAGAA